AATTACTCCCAGATTCCCAATTATCAGATTCGTCCTGCCATACATAATAGGAGACGAAATTGAATCAAAATCTCGTATACCAACTGATTAGGCCAATTAATTATTGATCTTTTAATTTTTGTGGTAGGTTTTGGAATCTCTGCGTAAACCCCGTAAACCGTCCTGATCCACCACAAAAGCTAAATACTTTAATGCAGGTTTACAAAATTTGTATGTATTAAAATTGATTGGAATTTATCAGCCGTGAATGTTCATCCTTAAAAATTTTGAGAAGAAATTAGTATAGCTATTATCATTGTATAAGTAGTCCTAGTAGTAGCCCAATGCACTTATTTGTTTGATACCAAAAGAAGACCACTACCAGGTGGCCAGTCTAATTGAGTCTCTTTAAGCTAGAGACGGCTGGAGCTTTTGCTAGTATAAAATAGATGGCAGAATAAATTTAATGAAAGTACAGTGACTTTAACAAGACAGTGGCGACAATAGCGTATAAGCTCCGCCCACCGGCCATGTTGCATCGAAATTCAAATAAAAGCATAATTTAAGTATTTTTTTTTAAAGAAATCTTACGCAAAAAATCATGTGTAAAAAGACTAAAGAGTGTAAAATTTTGCACTTTAGTTAAATTAGTAATACCAAAATATTTTCTGTGAAGATAAAGGTTAAAATTATTACAAAAAATAATGAACTTAATATAGTTTGGCTTATAACTGTAGTTTCTTTTCTTTTTTGTAGATTACAAATGAAATAGTAAATTGGGAAAAAAAAAATAAAAAAAACAGGTCTACGTAAAATAACAATGTATTTACAAAATATTATTAAGAATTTTTTTAATAATTTAGAGACAGCAGTATATAGGACAAAAATAATTTCCTTTCCTTATTATACAATGTTTTACATAAAATATTTTCCTTATTTACATCTTCGGTAAAAGAAATACTTGATACACTTTCTTCACTTGAACTAGATTCTAATGTCGATGTCAGATTACCAATAAAATCAGTAGCTGAAGTAGATGGCAGAAAACTAGTCGATGTAGAAAGTATTACATCTGTAGAAATGTGTGGCTCAATTGTATTTACTTCTAAAAGAAAAAGAAATCATTCAATTATTTGCTTATTTTGGAACAAACAAAATGGTAATTATCAGGTAGTTCTTTATCAATTTCTTTTATTTTTATTGGGAAATGCTATATACAGTGTCCGATTAAGTTTGCTACATACGGGAAATTTTGTTAATTTTATAAAAAAAATACTTTTTAAAAAATTCTGCTTTCCAAAAAATTTAAAATTATTTATTTAAATTGAAGATAACATGTATAAAGTGGTAAAAAAATAAGTAACATTAATTTTTATGTTACAACAAAATTTGATTTTTAAATTTTTCACTAAAACATGCCTTTATTGTCAATTAAAATTTTTCAATTATTTTCCAAATTGTCCAACATTTTGTAATGGCCTACGCGGGTATACACTTTATTTTAATTTGTCCCAAAACAAATTTAGTTTTGAGTAATATTTATTTAATTATTACACATTTTGTTGTAAAATAAAAATTAATAGTATTTCCCTCTTGGATTTATTTTAACTTTTTTTAATTTTGGATATCCAGTTTTGTGAAAGTAGGTGTACAAAAAACTTACCAACTAATAAAGGCTTCACTTTTCCTTGTACTGGCAAGTTTCTCTGAGTTGGAGGCTTTCTTGATATTTTCGGTTCGGAAAATGAAAAAATGGTAGGTATAAACTTACTTCACATAAATATGAATTATTTGTGGGCGTCCAATGATCCCGTCTAGTTCTAATTTGCCACTGTCTTCTTTTATCATGGTCCCTTGGGAAACGTTTCATCAGAAACCCTTTTTCCGAAGAATTGCTACAATTAACTGCAGCACACCCAGGCATTTTTGTTTCGCAGCTGGCCTTCAACCTTAAAACATGAAAACAAATGAACTATTTTCAATGTATTTTCCTTTTGCTAAATATAGGCTTTATATAAATATCGAAAATTTATTTACAGTCATTTTTAATACTATATAAAGCTAGAAAATTTCAGTATGCATTTTGTAAACAATCCTTACCACTAACAGGCGAGTAAATTTTCCAATATTTGCTGTAATATAACAATTCCCAGACAACCAAATTAACACAGATATTTAAAGTTTATTACGCAGGGCAAATAATGTTCACTTAAAACTACCAAAACTTTTATATTTTAACACAAATCGTCAAGAAAACAAATAAACTCCGTAAACACAGTGGTAGACACAAACTATTTTCGATGCAACATGGCGGATAAAACCACGTGACTCTGACATCCAATCAAAAAGAGAACACTCTATTGTCGCCACTGTCAATATAAAGTCACTGTAAATGAAAGTTGCAATTTTTATTCTACTCTGTATTGTTTTCATTAGATTTAAAAATGTGTCAATGTAAAGAAAACTGATTGTCGTAATATTGTTAAGAGTTATTGCTCCGCTGACCGCTGACAATAGCAAGAAATTTGTATAAATAGGAATTTTGGTTTAATCCTAGAAGACTCAATTATTTTAAAGATAATACCATGCACTAGCCCCGGGTTAAGATATTTTTAAAAAAATGGCCCGTTTCGTCAAAAAAAAAAAATTATGAAGTTTATTACATTTTTTAAAAAAAGGGCAACTGTTAATAAAGAATTAACATTATCAAACATGCATTATTCTTAACACGATCAGGTACTACTAAGTTGTAGTTAATCATTTCCTTAACAAGATCAAAAAATAATTTTTAAAATTGGACGTAATATAAAGTCATAATTATTAAATCAGCAAAGTAAACTCGGGTATAAAAATGATTGAAAAATATGACTAAAATATCCTTTCTCAAGACGTTCCGTGTTCGTACCAAGGGATAGGCGATATTGTCTTTGTCGTCTACCTAGTATTTAAAATTCAACAGATACGGAATAAGGGGTACATATAGGATAGATCTGAAATTTAGTATTGCTCGATGGTGCAAAGTGGGAATATTTATTACATGAGATAATTTTGTTTTTAATATAGAATTTTCAATTTCAGTTAATTTAAAAAAGTGTTTGATTAAAAAAAGTTAGGTTAAAGCATTATATTTATATAATGGGTATATTTTCTAAAATAATTCATTGTCCCAAGAATATCAACTGAGCTACTTAAATAATAAAATGTATAATTCAGTCTTTTAAATAATGTATTTAACAAATGTTTCACAATATATTAATTTAAATGTTTTCTGACTTATCTGTGAAAGAAACGTGGAAAAAATACTTAGTTTTCCTTACAAATTTTCCTTGATTTTGTTGCTGTCTGCTGTTGTAATGATGTGATAATTTTTTGCGGAAAGATGCCTTCTTTTTACCTTGAAATAAATAAAGAAAGAAGATGACCTAATTTTTTATTCTGTACAAATATATAAAATATATTAAATTACATTAGTTAACGTATAATAATATTTTGCAATTTTTACCATACTTACGACTGTTTTTATTCGTAACTTATGCTATAAGTTCAAGAGAATGAAATTCCAAATTATTTCGGTCTGTCCTGGTTAAAATTCAAAAAGATCTTATATTATTAATATTAAAAAAAAACTAAATGAGTAAACAGAACCGTTGTGTCTTGTTACTCTCCGGCTTTGATTGATCCGTATTTTGTTGCTGTTGTTGAATGAAGTAATCATATTTTGTTGTTGTCAACTTTAAGATATATTACATGATACGAGTTCGCGCATGACGTATTGAGGTGTGGAATATGGATGATTAGCCATGAGCTGACTAAAATTAATTTTCGCGCGCTGTTTTCGATCACAACAATATGTCGCCGTGATGTAGTATCGGCTTAATATAATATTCTTTTTATAGTATCATAAATATATTACAAGTTTTCTCTTTTCTACTTCAACGATCTTATAAACAGACTGGGATGAGGTATGCGAATTCTTCTCAGTTAAAATCTTAAATTCTTGTAAGGTTAGGAGTTTCTGCTTTTAAAACAACTCAATAATATAAAAGAACAAACATACGAAGTTGCGTGATATTTTATGAACCTTGACATCGGATATTTAAAAATATTTGAATTAAATCGGAGACAACAAATAAGGACAAAAAATGTATTATGTGGTTCGATGAGATAGTAATTAAGAAAACCTTTAAATATAATAAAAAATTAGATGTCATTGAAGGGTTTGAATACTTCGAGAACAACAGAAGAAACTCAGTTTTTCTCAGACAAGCTTTAGTGTAATTTCTCAATTCAATTCAATTCAATTCAAAAATTCCAGTGGCTTTTTTTCTAACTCAAAACGGTGGTGGGGTTGGTTGTAGCTTGGCCATTGCTTTGCAGTTTAGATTGCTTGCTTGCACACTCGCTTAACACGCCTGCTTTGTGGGTAGCTAACTTTTCCACAGGACGATGGAGAAATGCAACCATCGAGGCCTGCCTCCTCGTGGCACCAAATGATAAGGCCAATAGCGATGCTTCAAGAATCACCACTATTGCCTAACCAAATGGCACTCCAGCAAATCCCAACGCCACGGTGTAAGGTAACGTGCCTAAGGATAAATGGCCGCAGGGCTTAATATGCGGTTGCGTACGTTCCCTTGGGGGAACCGGGCGAAACCCCCAAGTAGTCAGCCTTGACTCTGTACAAGGGGCACTGCAGAGTTGGACCAACCCTTCCCCCATACTCGTGGGAACAAATGAGTACAATTGATTTAAATAAAATGGACACCCATAGAGATACAGACGACTCAGGCTCCTTGAACATGACTGTCGGAGAGACTGCGTTAGCTTTGGACTCCGACAACTCAAGGGAAGGAGGAACTGCGAAAGCAGAGGACTCTAACTTCTTAGCGGGAGGAGGATCTGTGAAAATAGACGACTGCTCTCAAACAAAAGAAACGGTCAAAAAAGCAGAGGTTAAGCCTGCTGATAGACCGAAAAAACCTTCAGAAGCGGAGAGAGAGAAGCTTCTGAAGGAAAGAAAAATGGCTGCAGGAACGTGGACGAAGAAAAATCCCCACAAGAATGCGGCCCAAAATCTAATCCAACGGAGGGAGGACCAAACGAAGAAAGGGGATAAAAGGCCCCGATCTGAGTTGCAGACTCCCCCCACTCGAAGTGGAACTAAGTGGGCCAGAAATGCTCCGACATCGGCTGACTCGTACAGTGACACTTTGAGGGGTATCCAACTGGCTGTCATCAAGAGAAGGCATCTAGATACAACCCTAGACCAAGAACAAGGAGACTTGGTACAAGAAACTCTTGTGAAAAAGCTCTACGCTACCCCTTCAGGCAGTGGAGGAGCCCCACAGTTCCACAGAACATTGTTTAGCGAAGGGGTCATTTGGATGACCAGCAGACCGCGGACTGGTTAAGAAGAATGGTCGGCACTCTGGGAAACCTTTGGGAGGGCGCGGATTTGACCGTGGTTAAATCTAAGGACCTCCCGAGAAGACCCAGGGTTCTGGTTTTCATCCCGGACGAGTCTGAAGTTGAAAAAGTCAGGGGACTTCTTCAGCTCCAGAATACGGACTGGCTTTTAATGAGCAGAAAAATTGAAAAGGGAGGGCAACTCCTAGCCTTTTCAATTGACGAAGCGTCGTACAGGGCCCTCGAGAGGTCACAATTCCGGGCCTATTATAAGCTAGGAAGGGTGACCTTCAGGGTCCTAAGGCGGCCTAGCGAGGATCAGGATAAACCAGATCAACCTCCAGCACTGTAAGGCTGCTTCGGCTGTACTTACAGAGGCGATGGGGAGGTTTGAAGTGGCCCAGGTACAAGAACCGTGGATTAGACACGGTACAATAAGAGGTTTAGGAGGGTTGGGTGGAGAGTTAATATATGACAGATCCACAGACACCCCTCGAACCTGCATAATTCACAAAAAAAGGCATAAAAATATTGCCGTTAACTAATTATTGTTCCAGAGATTTGGCAGCAGTCAGAATCAAGATCGATGCAGGAAATAAACCGAAGGAGGTAATACTCGAATGAGCATATCTACCTTCAGACGATCCTGAAGCAACACCTACCAGAGAAGTGAAGGAGCGGGTGAGATTCTGCAGGCGCAACGGAATGCAGATTGGCTGTGATGCAAACGCACACCACAGGATCTGGGGGAGCACCGATACCAACGAAAGAGGTGAGTCTTTACTACAATTTATTATGGCAAATAATTTAGACATAACAAATGTAGGCAATAAACCGACCTTTATAACAAAAAACAGAAAGGAGGTACTGGATGTAACAATAGCATCAACATACTTGAGTAATTTTGTTACAGACTGGCATGTGTCTGACGAAGAGAGTTTATCAGATCAAAGACACATAAACTTCAATATTAAAGGTAATATTGCAAAAGAAACTTATCGGAATCCCAGGAAAACAGACTGGGAGGCATACAATACTTCCCTGGAATGTAATCTTCCGAAGATGAGAAAGACGATAGAACAACAATCGACCTAAAAATGGCTGTGGATGAGTTTAATGACACAGTCCCTAGCGCTTTCAACGATACCTGTCCCTTAATAGCAAGGAACTCTACCAGGAAAGTTCCATGGTGGAATGATGACCTTTCTATACTAAGAAAACAGGTGAGACAAAAATTTATTAAGGCTAAAATAACCGGCGAACTATATAGAACCATACGCACCTGTTACAACATAGCTTTACGAAAAGTCAAGAGAGAATCTTGGAGAAGGCACTGTGAGGAGATTGCAAGCACTCAAGAATGTGCCAGGCTCCAAAAAATTCTCTCAAAAGACACACAACCACAATAAACACCCTTAAGAATGAACTCGGTGAGTACACAATCTTTTCCCAAATGCATTTGAAAAAATGAGCTTAAAGCTCGCTACTGAGTTATTTACCCATTCTGTAGCTAAAGCCATTAAAACGGCAACAAGAACTGGAGAATTAGTTTCCATTACGGCTAAAAATACAGCATATTTTATTGAAACAATAAACAACCTATTTGATGGTTTAAATAGTTCTTCTGCATATAGTTCGAAACCTTTTGTAACCGATCGTATTATATTGAGAATAAAGAGGTGATTTTAATGCTGTTACACAAGGGTACAAACTTTTAAAGAATATAGCTAAACAAACTGCCAAAGGTAAATTAACGAGAGCGGATTTATTCGATGGTTTTCTTCTTACCATAAATGCTGTTAAAGGGTTTTATTTCTATATTAATATTACGCAAACTCAACTTAAATATGTATTAACAGGAAGACTAATTCAAGATCCATTAGAAAACCAATTTTCTGTCTATAGACAGAAAGGGAGTTTTAATCGAAATCCTACTGTAAGGGGTTTTAAAGCATCTTTTAAGCTAAATATCGTTCATAATTTCATGAGACCTCCACTTAAAGCAAATTCAGGAACGAATTAGGATGAAGACCAAAATCTCCTGCTTTAAACGTTTTTAATAGAGCCTCATAATGATGAAGATACAGATAATGAAGAATACAATAAGAGTTCTGAAATCGGTATTTCATTGGAGATGACGCTTCCTATAATATTAGAAGAATGTTCCACTATGTACTTTGCCGGATACTTTAAAATTTAAATGCGAGGAGTGTCAAAATTATTTCGAAGAAAATGAAAATGTTTTGAATGATGAACACCAGTTACTCATTTTTTATAAAACTTACAATCTAAACAAGCAATCCGGGCTAAAATGTCTATTAACACTATTGGGCCAATGTACTACAATATTGCTATAAACTGTTACGCAAAACAAAGAAGAATATTGTACCAAAAAAGTTTTTTATAATTTGCGAAAAATTATGATTGAAAAATAAAAACATTTTAAGCAGAATGGTGTAATTGTATAGTTACTGTGTGGAATACAGACAGTATATGTTAGATTTATTAATTACAACTCAAATTTTCAAATATTGTAAGAACCGGTCCAAATTAGAAGCGGCAAAGAAAACGAGGAAACTTCCAGCCAGTAAAAAAACGTAAAATTGTCTATGGTGCAAAATACATAAATAAATTAATTCCTTATTTTCTTTATATTTTTAATGTACTTACCTATTATAACTAACAAAATGTATAATAATAATAATAATAATAATAATAATAATAATAATAATAATAATAATAATAATAATAATAATAATAATAATAATAATAATAATAATAATAATAATAATAATAATAATAATAATAATAATAATTAAATAAAATAAGAATTCAATGTGTAATATTAGTTTAATATAGTTTCTAACTGAAAATAATAATAATACATTTATTATTTAATAATAAATAACCTCTGCACGTGTAGTTATTTCCCCAAGAAAGCTAATAATTATTGTAAGAGGCTGGTACTTAAGTTATTTAAAAATTTTGTCTTTTATTAATTATATTAATATTATTTTATATTACCAATTTTTTTATCCAAACTACCTACCTACATTCTATTAAAAACTATAAGTATAATAATTTTGTAAATTACGGTCCTGGAGAACAAACATTCATACGATTTTATTATTTATACGAAGATAAAATTATCGATTTACCTACCTACATAAATACCTACCGATGGCTTGAATTCACGCCAAACATGAAATATGCGTAATATGGTAGACCACCAACTTAAAAACCACCTAAGTTACTTTTAATAAATCGCAATTATAAAGCTGGTAAACTATTTTTCGATAGTTGCCAGTTTTGTTAATATAGAGCGGAATAGAGACGATGTACGATCCAAAAAATTCGCAAAATGATAACGTTGTGCGGTTGAACAAACAATCCAAACTTCGTTTACCGACATCTAGAAAACTATCTTCTGCTTACGACTTTTTCTAATTTGTGCTACTGTCGGCTTGGAACCGCCATGTGACAAGCATAATAAAATTAAACTTTTTCTTCATAAGCATTGACTTACTAGATATATTTTGTAACATTTTAAAAGGCTAATTATAAAATGTTATTTTAAATGTGTGCCATCCGGTATAATTTAATTATCGCCAACACAAAATATTCTAAAGAAAGGGAAATTTCTTGAAGTGGGAGTGCCACTAGCCAAGCGATCTCAAGTCAGATTTGTAAATTTCATTTCATTATTACCTTTCAATTAAATCGGTGGTGCATTTGGGCTGATAAAGTGGTAAGCACAGAAATATTATTCTAACCTTTTGTTAATTATTAGTTTTTTAATAGTAAAGTTAAATATATTTTTATGATTCATTCTGGTTGCTAGAACGGCACAATATGTATAGTCACTAGTTTTTATTATCTGATTGGTTCATTTTTTTTTTTTTTAAAGAAAGTAGATATTTTAAATTTATATATCGTACAGAACCACGTGAAAAACAAAATCTATTTTTGTCTAGCAAACGAATGGAATCAGCCATAAGCAATAAGCCATAATCCATAAGCAATAAAACATAATCCATGAGCCACATAAATCCATAAGCCATAACGTCATAAGCCGAACATTATAAAGCCGTAAAACCATTCTACCGCTGTAATCTGAACGTTGGTTACCGAGGAGCAGAGATCTCTTGTGAAAAGTTGTTGGATTTGGAAAGGCGACAGCAACAATTCAAAGCTTCATAGAAGGAAGATTAACAGACAATGGCGTTGTTTTCCGAGGGACAAAAACTATGTATATGGTTATCTACAAGTGACTAGCAATAAAACAATTGGTAATTACTAGTGACTAAAATTATTTATGTACGAATCACAATTTTAATAATATCTGATAACTGTGAATAATTTGTTTTCGAAAAGGTTTCTTTTTTTAAATAAAATCGTTGATTTTTATAAGTATATATTTTGAATCTTATTTTTTAATGGTCACAAAGAATTCTCTTTCATTCACTAAATTCTGTATAATTTTTATTAACTTCTTTTTATTGATAAAGCTAGAATTTATAATTCTCACTAGCTTTTAAAAATAAAAAAGAGAATTATTGGTGCCCAACATTTCCTAGAAAGATTACTACCCTTAAAATTGTCTATTTGAAAAGCCGAATTCACGACAGAGAAAGGGATGTGCTCATTTATTTTTTTTAATTTTTAAAGGTAAGTAACGTTTGATATTAAATTTCACTGAGCTAGTAAAAATCTCTATAAGTGTTTTGAAATTAACATTTATCAAAAAGGTAACAAATAATAATGCAAATTGTAGCCTAACGGGGCAAAGGAATATTGCAAATTGGTGCCCAACGTGGGGTAAGATAAAATATTCGCAGACAATCAAGTCCAAACAATTAAAATTTAATTGATCAAAAAACGATAAACCAAAAAAATTATTTCCTGCTAATCAATAATAACCTTCAATTGATATTATTAATTAATTATCTACAATTTACTGTAAGGTATACACGAGAAATATTTAATTTCTCAATTAAAATAAAAACTAAACAGGGTGAAGCTACTATAAATAATGCCGATAAAATTCAGTAATAAGTTCCAGAAATGTGAGATATTTTAATTATTATTTCAAAATGAAATCTATATATTACTTTATCAATAAAAAGAGGTTAATAAAAATTATACAGAATTTAGTGAATGAAAGAGAATTCTTTGTGACCATTAAAAAATAAGATTCAAAATATATACTTACAAAAATCAACGATTTTATTTAAAAAAAGAAACCTTTTCGAAAACAAATTATTCACAGTTATCAGATAATATTAAAATTGTGATTCGTACATAAATAATTTTAGTCACTAGTAATTACCAATTGTTTTATTGCTAGTCACTTGTAGATAACCATACGTAGTTTTTGTCCCTCGGAAACCAACGCCATTGTCTGTTAATCTTCCTTCTATGAAGCTTTGAATTGTAGCTGTCGCCTTTCCAAATCAAACAACTTTTCACTAGAGATCTCTGCTCCTCGGGAACCAACGTTTAGATTACAGCGGTAGAATGGTTTTACGGCTTTATAACGTTCGGCTTATGACGTTATGGCTTATGGATTTATGTGGCTCATGGATTATGTTTTACTGCTTATGGATTATGGCTTATTGCTTATGGCTGATTCCATTCGTTTGCTAGACAAAAATAGATTTTGTTTTTCACGTGGTTCTGTACGATATATAAATTTGAAATATCTACTTTTTTTAAAAAAAAAATGAACCAATCAGATAATAAAAATTAGTGACAATACATATTGTGCCGTTCTGGCAACCAGAATGAATCATAAAAATATATTTAACTTTACTATTAAAAAACTAATAATTAACAAAAGGTTAGAATAATATTTCTACTGAGATATTTAATAAAGACATTATATACTTTTTGTGCTTACCACTTTATCAGCTCAAATGCACCACCGATTTAATTGAAAGGTAATAATAAAATGAAATTTACAAATCTGACTTGAGATCGTCTGGTTAGTGGTACTCCCACTTCAAGAAATTTCCCTTTCTTTAGAATATTTTGTGTTGGCGATAATTAAATTATACCGGATGGCACACATTTAAAATAACATTTTATAATTCGACTTTTAAAATGTTACAATTTATACAATGCTATTATCTAAATAATTTAAACGGTGAAGTGCCATCGAGGGATTTATCACCACATCCATCTGGCCATAGTTTTTGGAATGTTCGCTAGTCCAAAAGGCTTATATTCATTACACCAAAGGGTTTTTTTTTATTATATTTCCAGGTCAGTGCTGTTTAATAAATCAAATTAAAATGGATAAACAATGTTTATTAATAAATATAAATTATATAAATATACAATATATTTTTAAAATACTTTAATATACCCTCACCTTAGGAGGAATAAACGGGCATTCTTTCTCGTTCAAAGTAAAATCATTAACTTTTCTAAATGTGAAGCAAATCTAAAAATAAATAAATTGTTATGTAGGAAATGGAATGAAATTAAAAATATTATTTTAAGTAAATTGTTAATTTTACGACCCATTGCATAAGCATTACCATTGAGCACGTTTATAGGGAATGTGATGAAAAATATAATATAATGGAGAAATAATATGTTAACTTGAAAATAAACTTATAAATTGGTATAGAAAACACAGTTGTTTTTTACGATTGTACATATTTTAATGGGACAGATGAATTCGGAAGACGAATGTAAAGTACTGTTGAAAATTCACCATCGAAGAACACTAGTTTTGGGTTCCAGGTCATTAAGACACCGAAAGCAATAAAAAGACTCAAAAACTTGCAAAAAGAGTGAAATATCGGAAATAGGTATAAACTTTAAAGTACCAAAAATACAGTTCATAATTATATACAAAAATGCGTTCGAAAAACACCCAGAAATTATTGAGAAAATGTACCAAACCAAGTATATAAGAAGACCTACATACGAACATCATCATACAGAAAGAACAGGACAACTATTATCGGAATAGAAATCTATTGTAAGCAATAAAAAGAGTTAAGACTGGGCATGCCCCAGTAAAGGGATTCAGAATAAAATAGTTGTACATAATGGATAAGTATTTTGTCAACTATTTCACAAGAAACTACCGTACGATTGGAAAACATTGAATCGCAAAAGATAGGCACAGATTAATCCAAGAACCCATAAAACGCACTTGCAAACTTGTAAAATAGATAGTGTGCCCCTTATATGAATTAGCATGGGTTAAATATAATAAACCATTAGGCTGCAGTGTTTTTTCTGGGTTGTTCCCACTATGGGCCGTCCCATTACAGGCCGCGATTAGGACATTAGGGTATAGTGGACTGAAAAACGGGCAAAAAGGTTTCAATTTTTTCTTTAAGGTACAACCACATGTGGTCTTTACAAAATAATAGTCTAGGTCCCTGGCCATCTAAAATCATCAATTACAACATTTTTTAATAGGGATAACATTTTTTATTGCGAAATTTGTCAAAAATCTGGCAAAATTATGTTTTATTACTTTTTCACACATACCTCGCCATATCTCCGGAATTAAACAAGATATTGTTAACTTTTTTTTTAATCTGCAGAAGAAATGTAAGCGGAGATTACTGCGTTAGTTTCATTAGTATAGAAAACCTAGTTTTTTTGTAAAACTAGACAAAACATTAATCTTTACTTTTTTGCAGCACTATTTTCAGTAATCGTGAAACTTTTTTATTTTTCAAAATTTCACTAAACTATCTTCGTACCAAATAAAGCTAAAGCTTTAAGAAAGTTTTTAAAACAACAATCACTATTCTAAGTATCATAGTTTTCAAGCAATAGTTACTTGAAGTTAAAATGGGCCATCGCGCCGGCCGCGGCCGTGCATCTAGCTAAAAATACTGTTAGCGTTATTGTGGGGGCGCCGACTTAATTATAGGTACCTGTGACCTGTAAATTAATAAAAGTTCCTAAACATTTTAAAAAAGTTATATGTGGTTTAGTTATTGCTTTAGTTTAGATTGACAATATAAAATTTTATTATTAAAATTATCTTCATCGCACGAATAAACTCTTTTTATAGCAACTTAAATTAAAGATATTTATATTGACCCTTATTTGACATTATTTAATAGGTACATCTGATCAAATAAAAACAAAACAAACTCAATAGTCTCTAAAAAAATCGCAAGAACATTAAACAAAAAATTATAAAACTAATTAAACTAAATAACAAAGAACATATTTTAAAAGTCTTCATCTTCGTACTCTGATAAAATTTTATAGGTTAGGCTGTTACAGCAGTTTGTATATTTGCAGTCACTGTAGCATTTTAACCCTTGTGAAATGCAGGTAAACTTATTATTGTTGCAATTTTTGTCTGAACATCGTATAGACAAAATTGTTCTTACATCATCGGGCACTGGTTCTTGAGAAGAAAAATTGGCTTTCCAAATATTTTCTTCTAATATCCATCCGTATAGATTCGGATCTTCTAGTGGCATATTTTGAATGTGGCTATTGTACCAAATGTTTAATTGATAGAGACAACTATAAAACAATAATAGATACAATACATATTATAGCTATTTGTAGGTATTTTTTTATTATTATATAAGCATGGGCGACTTAGAAAAATATTAATAACCTTTTTAAATGTTGTTTAAAAGCATGATCAGTAGGAGGCAACTCAGAAGATGTGCGATTTGAGTCCGTTGTCAGGTACCACCGTAATTGATTCAAGGAAGCAATATTTTTGTTTTTGTTTCTATACAAATAAAGTATATATTTAGTAATAACTTCCAATGCTTTATCTTGTGATAAAAAGGGAAGATTTTCTAGGTCTTTAAAATCATCAATATTTTTGTATAACACATCAAATGCCTGCCTATCTTATACATTGCATTTGTTGTGTCGCATCCAGTTAAACAATGAATTGCCAGTAGTTTTTTACACATTTGTGTCCCTAAATTGGCCATAATATTGTTAATAGACAAAAAATGTGAATTTTTACCATGTCCTCTTTTTATGTATACATTTCTTTGAAACTTATCTGATATTTCACAGTAAAAATGTAAGAGCAAGATCAGGACATCGGTATCAACAGATTTTACCAGAATTTTATTCTCTGCTTTTAGCTCTACTATAACGTGGAGTATCAGTCTTGTGTCTTCTTCTTGATTGCTATTTAGTCTTTCCACCTCTTTTGGCCCTGTAATTTTATTTACTTCAAAACAAGGTTGAGGATTTTCAAATCCACTTGCTACAATTACTGTTTCATAGTCATTTAGTAAATTTGGTACTTCTGTCAAAAAATAGTTTATAATGAATATTAGTAATGATCGTTTATTCGCCGAAGACCTGATAAATTCTCGAAACTTGGGTACTTTTCTAGAACCAGCCACTTTAAATTCACTACTGGAATCACCACGTCTTTGTCGTTCCCCATTTTTTAACAAATTGGGTAAATAGGTATCAAAGACTACTGTAATTATTTTTGTCCCATGTTTTCTTCCCTCTCGTAAGATTTTAGCAGCAAAGACTTCTCCCAAATCATTAAAAGTGACAAAAGTAGAAGGTTGTAATTCTTGAACTGATACCATTCCATCAACAATAAAGGAGTCTACGGATGGACAAGTCGTTAAAGCATTGGTAAATGTTTCTATTTTTTTCGCAAGGTCAGACTTTGTTGATTTTCTCATGTGACGCTGGAACAACTGTTAGTTTATATGACAATATATTTGCAAGATCCATTTCTTGAAATCGAGCTGCACAAATAACACTGCGAAACATACATTCTGATCCAATAAAATTCTTTTTTAATGAAACTTTCTTTTTTCCTATATCGTTGTTGAAAGTATAGGTTTTGTTTCTTTTGATAGGATTCAAAAAGCTTTGCTGCATTCTATTTAATAAAGTCTTCATGTGCTCCAGTGCTGTTTCCAAAAAAATTACTTAGACTTTTTTCAATTTCTTCATCCGCGATTTTTCCAGTGCATATATTAATTAACTGACTCGGTACATTATCTAAATCAAATGGATTACACCATTGGTTTTCCAAACTAGTTATTATTAGCGAAATATCTTCTCCATTCTTATTTGCCATTTTACCTCCTACCTTACTCTACCTTACTAATCGCAGTTAAAACAAAGACTGTTTGTTAGCAAATAATAATATTTATTAATCAACAACAACAAAATTCGACAAGAAAATTACAATTTGTTAATAAATATAATAATAAAACCCACAGAAGGTCTAGCCTGTGCGTGGGTTATAATAATAAAATTAAAAATAAATAATAAAATAATCGAAGTAGTAATAAAACTAATAAAACTAATAATATCAATAATAATAATAATTATAACAATAATAATAATAGTTAACGATAACATGAATAACAAAATCTACAATAATAAAAATAATATTGACAATAGTACTAACATTAATACCAATATCAATGCAATACCTCTACTAATACCAATACTTATATAACTACCAACACCAATAACAACACTAATACTAATATCAATAACAATTAAAATAACATTAATAAAATAATTTGTTTACTCAATTTTTAATCATTAATAATCATTCATATTTTATATATAATATATTACATTTAAATAAATATCTCTTTTTTATAGTTTATAGTGTTTCAAAGTAAGCATGTATTTGATTTCTAGGAATTGTTTTCATCCATTTTTTAATTTTATTTTTAAATAGTGATTTTGAGTTTATTGTTTTTAAATCAGGTGGGATTATATTATAAAATTTTGGACCAAGATAGCCATAGCTTCTTTGTAATAAGTTTTTATGAGATTCAGGTAAGTAGTTTGAATTTATTTTATATCTTGTATTATAATCATGATTAATACTTCTTAATTCTCTTTTATTTAAATGTTGTCTTATAAGGGTGTTTAGAAAAAACAATTGTCGTATATCATTTACGCCTATTTCTTGATATAAAAGTTCGGTGGGAAATAATCTGGGTTTTTTAAATAATATTTTAAGAATATATCTTTGTGTAGTTTCTAGGATTTTGATATGGGAGTTTTGTGCAGCTCCCCAAGCAACAACAGAATATGTTAGATGACTTTCTACTAAAGAATGGTACAAGATTCTTAGATGTTTTTCATCGTAAAACCTGTTGATGCACTTTAAACTGTAAGCCACAAATCTTAGCTTCTTTATTAGAAAATTTATTTGTACATCCCATTTTAAGTGTGCATCTATATATATACCAAGATATTTTATTTTTAGAGCCTGTCCGATTTTGAAAACAGAGTTCTCTTGTATAACCGTTAGTAGATTGTATTCAGGTAAGTAACTGGAATAGGAAGTAAAAGGAACATAAAAAGTTTTACTGATATTTATTGTAAGCAACCTACTATCCATCCATTTTATTATTCTTGAAAAGTCTTCTTCCGCAATTACTTTTAGATCATTCCAACTATGCGACGAATATAGTATAGCTGTGTCAT